GATCACATGAGAGAAAGCATGTAGAACACTTGGGACAGTGGGTGGCACTGTTCAGTATATGTCAAAGAAAGATACACCTGCCCAGAGCAACATGGTCAGATATGCCTCACAGAGATACATGTGGATACAGGGAGACTGCAATGATGCACAGGAGGCCTCTAAAATGCCAGAGAAATAGTAAAGGCATAAGCCAGACCCTAGAGGCCTCACAGCATTCATCTTCTTGTCCCACGGTGACAGGCACATATACAAACGGTGTCCTAACCCTGGGGTCAGTGGCCTCTGGACTAAGGACCTCCAAAGGTGGAGGGTGGATCAGAGTCCCCAGGCTCTGGGGCAAACCAGGGAAGGATCAGGTTAGGGCCAAGGATAGGACTGGGACAGATCCATTGTCATTCATCCAGTATGAACTTCTGGAGTGCTGGGCACTGTTCTAGGAGCTGGGAACATGAGGGTGAACAAAACACGTGGGAGCAGCCAAAGGCAAGCAGAAGAAAACTTCTCAATAACCTATTGTGGAAAGAGCTGGAAGGAGACAGAGCTGTGACAGAGTTATGGTGGGGGACAGACTGCAGAAAGGGAAGCAGGGAAATCCTTGACCATACCTGATACATATCAAGGACTCAGTAAATACATTTGGTAAAGGAGTAAATGTTGGCAGGACTTGCTGATGGATGGGGTGTGGAGGTACAGGAATGTGTGGAGTCAAAGGTGCCCCCAGGGGTTGGGCCTGAGTAGCCTGGGAACAGTGGAGCCATTTACTGAGCTGGGTCAGGCTGCTCGTGGAGCAGGTTGACCACCAGGGGAATGGTCTAAACTGTCCTCAGTTCAGGTGAGAAGACCAGTTACATCTGCAGATGGCATGTCCAGTTGGGGCAGACTACTTACCTTCTCAGAGTCCCCATTTCCTCCCCTAGATCCTTTCCCTAGATCCTGGCAGCGGGCCAGAAGCGTCATAAAGAGGGGGCATGGGACCTATTGAAAGACAGGCCCCCCCCATTCTTTGTATTGTTAACCCAGCTTGGCACTGAAGAGGTTCCATCCTCTGAGCCATCTGGGAAGGATCTGCCCCTTGGCCCAATACCCTGATGGGGCAAGAAGCCAGAGGAAGCTTCCTTCCAAACCACAGAGGATGTGGGAGGCCCTGCTGTCTATCCAAGTTTACCTTTGGGGAAGTGGCTCTCACTGTGCTGTCATTGGTCGGTCTGCGGGCTGGGCTCCTGTCACCTGTGGGCCAGGACCGATGGAGCAGCTTTCCTTCTGGGGCTGCTCCTCTCTTGGGGGTCCACAGGAAGCATAATATGCCTGGCAAAAGACTTGAGAAGTCACTAGTTCGGACTGGTTTATTCTAGAGCATGGCCTCACTTCTCTATTTTTTGAGATTTCACTGGGTTTTTGCAACAAAAGGGATTTTCTTACCTAGTGACAAACCCCATCACAAGATTCTGGCTGTCTAGACACACAAAGTGGAGTTTCAGCAGTTTGTCTAAGAGTTTCCTGGGCAAGGAGAAGGGGCCAGAAGAGAATCTGGGGGTCAGTTGGTGGCACTTCCTCCCTGCACTGGGAAGTCCATGCAACGTGAGAGCTGAAAAGCGAGCATCGTTATCCTTGCACAGCAGAACCATCCTCTGAACAGGACATTCTCAAACTCTGGCCAGTCATGGCAGAAACATAACAAACTGTCAAGTCCAGAGGGATGAAAATGAATCACCTTTCTAGTCCCTGCAGCCTCCAGCAGAAGGTCTTTCACACAGTAGGTATTAGAGACAAATTGGTTCAATTGAGTTTATGGGGCATTTGCTCTACTGCAAGTTAGACGCTGCTCACATTTTTTTGAAAATTAATATATGTTAAGTATATATTTATTTAAACAAATGTTCAGCTTTACTGAGGTACAACTGACAAAATTGTAAGCTATTTAAAGTGTATGGCATGATTATTTGATATACCTACACACTTGAAAGAACTCCCCCCATCAAGTTAACATGTCCAACACCTCACATAATTACTTTTGGTTTGGTTTATGGGAATTTGCATTTATTCTTTAACGATTAAAAAAAAAAAAAATTAATTTGCGAGAGAGAAAGGAAGAGAGGGAGAGAAACATTGATTTGCTGTTCTACTTATTTATGCATACATTGGTTGATTCTTGTATGAGCCCTGACTTGGGGATTGAACCTACAACCTTGGTGTATGAGGAGGACGCTCTAACCAACTGAGCTACCCGGCCAGGGCCACATTTATTCTTAGACTACAGCCACAATTCTGAGCGGTGAATGCTGTTAATCCCTATTTTATGGGAAAAGAGGCACCGAGGTTCAATAACTTGCCCAAAGGCCAGTTAAGAAGAGATGTCTGACTTTAGTCTGAGGGAAGCTCAAAGCATCCCACATTATTATTTTTGAGAAAAGGTAGATTGTCAGGATACAGAAGTAGCATCAAGGATAAGATACTCTCCTTCCCTGGTCAGGTCCGAAGTTTTATTAGGAGTCTGACTGCTGAAATAGAATATCTGCCTGCCATCCAGTGAAAGATTAAATAAGCAGTAAATGAAACTCTCAGTTGATAACATAGTTCAGTTTAGCTGGAGCTTAAGTAGGGTGAGAGTGAATTACAGTTGCAAACTTGATGTCCGATGTAGCTGATTTGAGTGGCAACTCCCCACTACACCCTGCCTCTTGCCAGGAGCTGGGGTTGCAGAACTCTTTACAGGCCATTGAGTTATTCATGAGAAAAACCCATCCTTCCCTACAGATCAGCAGGTTAGAAGCAAAGCCACATTTTCCCTGAATCCAAGGAATGGGACCTTCCAAGGTGGACAGAAATCAGTAAGGTGCACCTTTAGCCCTACTGCCCTCCATGCACATGGCACGCAGTCTGCCTGAGGTTTTTTCAGTTCTCCTCTGAAACTTGAGCTTAAACATGGGAGGACTGTGTACTGTGTGGCCTTACTGAGGTGGCCAGGAATTCTGAGATGCTATACATAAGGGCAGAGACCCTGTCCTCTAAAATTCTAATTCAATGCTTGTTCCTTTTCTCAGTGACCTTGGCTCCTAGGTGGCATGGAACAAATCTTGTTCATCTTTACACGAGCATTTCACCTCTGGGGAGGCTGGAGAGTAGCGCTTTTGAACCGTCCCTTTAAAAAGCCAGCAATGCAGCCAACACCAGCCCGTTAGGCCATACCACCCTGAAGGCGCCTGATGCGCAAAGCTAAAAGCCAGAAATGCTCACTAAGGGTCATTCTCAGTAAGTCAGACATTATTCTTAGCCTCCTGCTTGGATGACCTCACTGCTACAATTTAAAAGTGGATTTGGGATGTTCCTAAGAATGAAAATAGGGGCTGTCCGATGTTAAATTGCAGGGGAAATGGTTAAATAAGTTATGGTGCATCTACGCCACAGAGCACTTAACAGGTGGTTAAAAAGGCTAAGGCAGAAAATGCATTTTATACACACACCTCCCCATCAATGTGATAAAAACAACAAAATGTGATAGATACATACAATGGGATATTATTTAGCCTTAAAAAGGAAGGTGTCCATGTAAGCGTGTCCAAACCTGTAGAGAATTTTTTAAAAATTTTGAGTCAAAGCGAAGATATGCCTGGAAGCAAGCTCTCAACAGATAAATGCTTCAGAGACTAACAGGAGGAAGGTAAGGAAGATAAGTTGAAGGTGGGAGAGAACAAGATGGGTATCAAATGACAGGGTAGTTCAGGTTATGTGCCCTCCAGAGGGTGGTCATGCTCTAGAAAGAGGGGTCTGAAAGGGGGCATTTCAAAGGTGTGTTAGCCTAGATGCACAGAAACTATGGTCAGGGCTTGTTTAAGGCAAAGAAAGTTACATGCCCGGGGCGTGACTACCCACCACGATCTGCCCAGTTAGGAACTAGTGATCAGATCACCCTGTGTGGTTACTTTCCATAGAGCACCTTTTCGTCCACAAAGGGAATTCTGACACATGCTACATGAATGAACCTTGAGAATTTTATGCTAACTGAAAATAACTTGTCACAAAGAGTCAAATACTATATGATTCTAGTTATGTGAGGTAGTCAGTCACAGAAACAGAAAGTAGAATGGTGGTTGCCAGGGGCTGGGGGAGGGGAATGGGGAGTTAGTGTTTATTGGGGACAGTTTCAGTTTTGCAAGATGAAGAGTTCTGGGAATGTGTGGTGGTGATGGTTGCACAACAGTTTCAATGTATTTAATGCCACTGAACTGTGCACTTAAAATGGTTAAGATGGTAAATTTTATGTTTTACAATAAAAAATGGAAAAATAGAAAGCTGCTAACAGATTGTATCGCACTGTTTTTGAAGAGTTTTATGTATGCCGCAAGTGTAATGACACAGAGGTCTGGAAGGAAATTATAAACTGTCAGCAGCGGATGTGGGACTCGGGGAGCTTGGGGGGGTTTCTACTTTTTCCTTGACATACTTCTGCACTGTTTTTCCAGTGAGCGCTACTACTTTTGTAGTGTCAGAGCCCAGGCAGCAATGGTGGGAATTCGTGCTGCAGTGAGAGGTCTCTTGAGGCCATTTATGGGACTAACTTCAGTTCATAACTGACCTTGGTCACTGCTCCTGAAGGAAATCTCAAACTTTGCCTCAAAAGAGACTCAAGATTTGGGTTTAAATAATTCTAATACTGAAAGTAGAATCTGGGATGCTGTATAAGAATAAGCTGACATTTACTGAGCACTCAGAGTAAGTCCCAGGAGGGTGAGGTAGGCAGTTATGACTCCCATTTTACAGATGGGTACACGGAGTAGCAAAAAGAAGGAACTTGCCCTAGGTTGTCCAGCTGGTGAACGGCAAAGCTGGGAACAAGCCCCAGGTTCTGCATGACATCAGCTTCATGCTTGGAGCCACTGCACCCCGCCACAGCCCATCCCCAGTGGCTCCATTCTGGAGCCATGGCCCCCTCTTCCAGGACAAGGGCTCCTCCTCCTGGTACCTTCACATTCCTCTGCAGTGAGGAAAAGGAACAGGCTTGCTTTTTTTGTTAATAAAGTAGAATAACATTTATTTCTTTCTTAACATTTTATATTATACATGCTGTGCTCATGGAAAATCAAGACCTCGAAGGAACTCCGATTAGATATAATTATGATCAGCTGAGAACAGTCAAGCTGATGATGCTTTCTTTTCTTTGTAGGTGGCCATCAGTTTCTTGATTTCAGCAATAGCTTTCCCTGGATTCAGCCCCTTGAAAAAAGAGAAGAGAATCAATACCAAATGACAGTGAAATGGAACGGAAGTCCATGACCCTGAGAGGAACTCCTCCCCTGGCTGGTAAGTGTCCAAGCAAAGTGAACGCAAATCAGGCCTTTTACAACCCAGGGGCTTGGGCTAAGAGCTCTCTTGGGCTCTGCTTTCAGACAGTTCTTGCTCTCTGGCAAGGGCCCTGTCTTATTTTATTCCCACTCACTGTAGGAAGACAGGTGTGGCTCACTGTAGAAGGCAAATGAGCCCAGGGCAGAGCCATTTTCTCTGAATGCTCAAAGATACCTAAGAAAGAAGGTCTTTTCTATGACTGTAGCTGGTGTCAAAATTAGCCAGACATCTCTAAAGGTTTTACACATTACCACAATCTTTAACTCATCATCAGAAACCAGCACATTCAAGCTCTCAAAGGTGCGTGGAAGCAGCCCTGGTCCCTCTCCTGCTTGAATGACCAAGTTTGCCCTCTGCCAACTGCCTCTTCATGAGCAGACGCCACTCCTGTCATCACAGTTTTGAGGCAGAGCTCAGGGTCACCAGCCCTGCATACCTTAGGACAGGTCCTTGTGCAGTTCATGATCGTGTGGCAGCGATATAGAGAGAAGGGGTCCTGCAGCTTGGCCAGGCGCTCCTCTGTGAAATCATCTCTGGAGTCGATCATCCAGCGATAGGCCTGGGAACCAGGGACTGATTAGCTGAGCCTTCAACTTAACGGGCCTAGCAGCCCTCTGGTTCACCTCAAAGTTTCAAGATCGCAAAAGAAAGGGAATTCTCTCAGCTTTGACACCCTACCTCTACATTCTTTGATTCTTGCCATCTTTCAAGGCTCCCAACTCTTTTGGAACTCCTCTTGATAATGACCCCCCACAAACCTTTGAACCACAGTGCACCCGGTACCCTGGTGCTTAAGTATATGCAATCAGGCATCGTCTTCTAATTATTAAGTTGCTCATTAGCTTCCTACCCAGATTATGAATCAGTGAAGGCAGGGACTGTGTCATATGACTTTTCATCTGTCTTCACAGCACCTACTCACTGTCTTTGAGTAACTGCCCTGTCTAGAGATAATTTTTGCTTCTTTTAATTAGTGTATCCATCCAGGAAGCCTGAGACCAGCCAGCTGACTAACCTCCCCATCACCGGGCCTGCTCTGGCAGTGTTACTGGGAGGACTTCTACATTTCTGACAACTTGGGTCACTGGCTCAAGGGCCAACTATGAATGTACCTCATTATCAACCTCTTCCATGGCTGAGAATCAATACTGCCACATGGTCACACAACCACATAGCTTCTCTTTTTATGGGAAAATGAGAAACGAGAAGTTTTTGTGAGTTGTTTAAGAGTCTGTGGAAAGCACTGACCACAAATCTAAAGTCTAAACTGTCTAGAAACAAAGACACTGACTTTCTTTGCAGTGAACTATTCATACAGTGAAAGGCAATGAAAAGCAATACTACTTTCTCTTCTGAGTAACCCCTAAACCCAGTACTCAGGCTTCCATTAGCATGGAAACAATTTCCAACCCAAGAGCTGGGCAGTGGCTTCTCAACAACACTTTGCTCTCCACTGCTCGCATGTGAAAAATCCCTGTGAGAGGGAGCCATGACAGATGTGGTCTGGGGAAAGCGAGCAAGTGGGCAGGTAAGAGCCAGTGGCACAGGAAGCACATTTTAAATATCTGCAAGGCATGGTTTGCCAACCAGCATGCTACCACCCAGGGTCAGACCCTGGCCACACTGAAACAAAGGCATTTTGCAGTCAAAGCCCTGTATTTACTGAAAGCCAAGTGAAGACAATGCAATCTATGACCTATTTGGAATGGATGCAAATGAAGGAAGCCCTCGCTCCTCAGAATGTCTGGTTTCCAACAACATATTATGGGCTTGGATTTCTGAATGCTTGAGTTTCAGTTTTTCTTAAAGCAATATTGGAGAACCTTACCTGCATAAGAACTGCAGGCCCCAAATATTTGTCTCCATTCCACCAGTAGCTGGGGCAGCTGGTGCTGCAGCAGGCACAGAGGATGCACTCGTACAGCCCGTCCTGTGCAGGGAGGGAAGGCAGCACAGTCAGGAGCAGTGACTGAAGAGCCTGTCACGTCCTTAGTTGACTAAATGTGGCGTCTGGGGTCAGAGCATGAACAAAGCACCCACTTGCATGTGAGTTTTCTTGGAAAAACCCTAGGAGTGGTTTGCAGAGATTTACCAGAGTCATAAAAAAGAGCTTGTAACTGAAATGTAAACATTTGCTGGATTTCAGCCCAGAGTTAAGTTCAAGTACACTAATAACCCTTCTCTTATCTAAAGAAAAAACATGAAAAAAACCAAACCCATGAAAAACAAAACAAAACAAAAAACCTAAAACCAAAACGTATCACCTAGAATGCAGTCTAGGAGAAACTAAGAGGCCCTGGGTGTGGAGGCCTCTGGTGGTCTACACCAGCCTCTGCCAGGCTCAGCACAGGAGGTGTCAAGTTTCAATGGGAACCAACATCATTCTAAATAATAGCCAACCTGCACCGCACATCCTGTGCTTGATTGATTTTACCTCCTTTGATGATCACAATAATCCTATTACAGTCCCATTTTATAGGTAAGGAACTGAGGCTCAGAGAGGTTAGGTCGTTTGCCCAGGCTCACACAGCTGTAAGCAGCAGAGCTGGGACAGGACCTCAGGTGGCCTGACTCTGGAAGCCCTGCTCCTTAACACCTGCCACACTGACTCCATCTGCTCAACCAGTTCCACCACATTCGACTTGCAGATTTGGGGAACAGAAACTGATTAAAAGCAGCAAAACAGAAGGACACGCTGCCATGTGAAGTGACAGCAGATGACTGATGACACAGAGTCGTAGGTCCTAACTGTAAACTTATGAGTCTTCAACAAAATCTACTTTCTGTTCAGGCAGCTGGTAAGAGTGTAAACTGGCCCCACTGGTCTAGAGAGCATAAGTTAACAGGATTAAGAGCCTTAATTATAGTCATATTCTTTAATCTACTTGTAGAAAAATCTAACAAGAAATTAGAATTTCTTAGAACTTGAAGGATAAAGATGTTTATCTAGCCTTATTTGTAATAAAAAAATTAGAAATACTCTCATTGTTCAACAGCAGTAGGAACAGCTAAAGAACACATGATGCGCACACCTGAAGTAATAGAAAGTCAAGTGTAAACTGATGCTTATGAAATCTTTTAAGAACACGGGAAGATGCTCACAATAACATAAGGGAGAAATAACATAAAGCAGACACAGAAGAATATTTATGTTTTGACCCCAGCTACAGCGAAATGAAACATAATATAAAAAGAACAAAGGTAGCTGTCAGCAGAAGTTATTTTTGGGTGGTGGAGTCATAGACTATTTAAAAATTATTTCTCTGTATGTCTCCACTTTCATTATCTACAATGAGCATGATGGCTTTTAAAAATCACGAAAAAAGTTATGTTCAGCGTATTAATTTAAGGGAGCGAAAAATGCTAAGTAAACAAATGTTTGGCATTTAAATGAGTAAATTTTGATTATCCAGAAAAGGCGCTCAGGGGAACCCTTCATTCCCTAGTAACACCACATCAAGGAGATGTTTACCAGCTACACGCCACCCGAGTATGAGAGATGACTAGTTGAGCCACAGTGGCCAGTTCCAACCTGGGCCCTGGGATGTGTCAGACTCCTCGGGAGTTAAAAATGGGGGACTGCTTTGACTAACATCACCGTGCTGACCCTCATCGTCTTCATGTCAGAGCTGGGCAGTCTTAGTAGGACTCTCCTTTTTAAATATTTTTATGGGGAAGAGAAGGGCTAAATAGTCCCCTAGACCTAAAAGGTAGAATTCACTTATTCATTCACACAAGCAATATTTATTGATAAAATAACATGTGCCAAGGCCTTGGGGTCCAGAAGTAGGACAGTCCCTACGATGTGCTCAGTCTCCTAACAGACCGAAATGTAAATAACTTCCTTAGGAATAACTTCCTTAGGCTAAGTGCTGCATGGGAGGGGCATACAAAGTAGTGACCGTCAGACAGCACAGGTCCTTGGCCCCATGCAGGCACACTGTTGGGAACCATCTTCATTCGGTCCCCTTCCCACCTCTTCCTCTCCACAAGGACACTAAGTGGGCAAGGGGTGAGTGTGCAAATCAGACGCTTCTTAGAGAAGGTAAAAGTAGTACAAGAAAAAGAGACTAAAAACTTGATAATAACTCCTTCACTTTTAAAGACTTCCTAGCCTGTACACAAGAACAGCAACTCCAAGAGAGGGAGAAGATATTCACCAGACCTGTGGTGTTAGGAAAGAACACCGAGGTTCTAGTTCCAGCTTACTCATTAACTATTCCATTCCCACCTATACAGGGTGGTGGCAGATTGCAAACAGTGTCATGTGTTTTGTTTGCCCACAAGTTAAAGTGCTACTCTGACTTAGCTGTCAACTTTTACTAGTTTCTTTAGAAAAATACAAACATCTGCCACATGGTAACAATTTGCTCCTCGTGGGTTGGGCAGGGCACAGGCACTCCAGCTCCTTGGCCTGCTCTTGGCCCTTTGTAGGTTCACATTACCCACCTGGCCCTGAGAGGATAGGTATCCAACCCTTGGACAGGTGCTTTGAAGTTCCTTCCAGAATATAGTAAATGCTCTGCATCACCTCATGCTGCTGCCCCACCCCCACTCCTTCAAGATACACTTCCCGGAAAACATCTTTGCAACGAAATTCCTCAAATCAAGACAATACCAGTTTCTCTCGATCTTCTATGGACTGCAGATACTGCTGTTTGCCTTCCTGGGACTCATCCTTCTTCTTCAGATAAGGCTCAATGGACTTGTACTGAGCATAGAAGTTGCTTAGGTCCTGAGGCGAAGGGGAAGAAAAAGGTAAGGCTCCGCCATCACCGCTTAGCTTTCTCTTGACCCCATTTCCCCGCCTACTTGTAAGTCAGACTCTCTTCCTCTCGCAGGGCCACGGGCAAAGATTCAGAAGGGAGAAGTGGTCACAGTGTTAAGTGTGGTTAGCAAATCTCTGCTTCATGCCCTGGGAAACCTTCTAATCCCACGTGCCCTTGAAAACACCATCAGTGAAGGTGGTCAAGTACAGGGAGGTAGGAATGAAAGTAAAATGTGTATCAGCTGTTACTTCTCAGTTGGTATTTTCTACATGAATTCTTTGTAGTTATGGCCAAATTCTTCATTTCTGGGACTGTTCCAATTTTATGCCCTTTATTCCCAAAAATCTTCACCAAATGAGCTGCTGGAAGATCTTCCAAGCAGGTTTATCTTCCAGCATTCGAACTGCTTAATTAAACTCAGACAGGAAAAAAGCTGCCCGAAGGAACTAACAGCATAACCCAAACACACCTCTCCCCCTCTCCCTGCAAAAAAAAGGGGGGGGGAATGCAGAAACTCACAGGAACAAGATCCTTTATCACATACATATGTGGAAGAGGGTAGATTTTTGAGACTTTGTTGAGGTTGGTGTCAATCCTTCGGGTGCAAGCTAGAGTGTTGCCTCCATTGATGTTCATTGCACAAGAGCCACAGATACCTGTGAGACAAAATACGTTTAATGCTTCCTTACCCAGATTCAGTCACCCAGCTTCCAATTCTCTCCTCTGCACTGTCACCAGTTATTCCACCACTGGGAGCAGTACTGACAGGCAACAGACCTCCGGCAGAGGTGCCTGTTGCCTTTTCCCCTTTTCCTCCCCTTATCTAGTATGTAGATCTAATGGCTGTGTTTCCAAAAACATTTTGTGACCATGAGGCAACCTTGAGGTTGGTTGGCACTGGAGAAGGAGAGAACGAGTCTGGGATCCAGCTGGCACCACAAGTTCCCGACACCAGTCCTAGCTCCAAGCTTCACGTATTTTGAAAGAAAAAGCATTGTGTTTTTTTGAAGGCACCATCTCTGGCCATATGCCTGATCTCCTCTGATCTCCAAAGCCACTGTTAGTTGAACTCAAACTCTAACAGATGCAGTACCCCAAAACAAATCAATGTTGTCTTGGTCATCTTAAGGCTGAGGCCTGGATACAGATTTTCCAGAGGAAGCTCTAATTCAATTGTCTCCACAAGACAAGCATCAGTGGTTGCCCCGGGGATATGAAACTCACAAAAGCTGCCTGAGCACTGACTTTCCAAGAAGAACTAATGTGAAACCAAAGCAAAGCAAACCAAGCAAAAATAAAGTGCTAACCAAGGGGCCCTGAAATGAGAATTTTCTCAGTCTAGACTCACTTCCCATATATGGAAATTTACTAGGTATTTCAGAGTTTTAAAAAGACCATGAAATTTAAACCCCTGGCACCACTTCTCTGGAGCTGTATTTTGATCATCAGGCCAGAGAAACGGGATTACTCATGAAACTTGCACTGGGTTATCACTTTCATATGACTACTCTCTCCCTCTCTGTAAACCTTAGTAAGAGCATAAGAGAACACACAGATCTTTTTGACTCCTAAAATCTTAAGCAAATACTCCTCAAGAGATTGAATATTATCAATATATTTTTGTATGCCTGCCATTCAACTGGAGCAGTATGTTTTTATAAAAATGGTATATAATTTAAAAAATAAATCCAATGAATCTTCTCTCAAAAAGGCTATCCTGGAAATTCTTGTAACAAATAATAAGGGAGTAAAAAGAAGTGGCAATTGATATTATTCTGCCCCATATATTTTAGTCCAAATGGGCTACACCTTATATTCTTGGCTCTGAAAGTCTTACGGGGAAAGGTTACTGAAAAGCATCTCTATTTCCTGTGTTTTAAGGATTTATGGGGAAGGTTGGTGTTTAATTACAGCAGAATGTTCCCTGAACAGCAGGACTCAGCCAAACTATCATAATATCTGTCAGCATTTGCTACATTAAATCCAATCCTGCAAGATTAGCTGAATCAAAACAGATGTCTTAGAAATAGGACTTTAAATGCTTGAAATGCACAACCGAACAAACAAAAAGTGATGGGCCAATATTTATAGTGACTTTTCCTTTTTGGAAGGTTATTTTAGGAAGAAAGTTCAATCCCAGCCCTTGGTCTTGGCCCAGGCTACACTGTTTTGGTTCTATCCTGGGTTCTCCAAGCCCAGACTTCTGTACTGCCTGAAACTGCAGTTCTGGAATCTGACAACTCTGGCAGACTCCTGGCTTCCCAACTCACTAGCTATGAGTCTTTTTGGGAGTCCCTAACCTCCCTGGGCCTCAGCTTCTTCATATGTACACTGAGTGTAAATAATAACAGCACCTGTCTATCTCACGTGAAATGCATAGAATGGAGCCTGGCACACACTGTGCTCCAAGGCCATCAGGACCAGCCAGCCTTCACAGCACGTCCGTGTGATTTTTGCCACATCTGAGTACCACTTGAATGATTACTTAGGTGTTTCCTTTAAATCAAATCATTTTTACTTAAATTCATATTAAGCAACCACTTATATCACTGCTACACCGTCAACAGTAATTACATTTTTCTAATATGTAAATAAATACAAAGCTATTAGCCTGCATGAGGTGGGACAGGCTGTTCCCACCCAGAACATTTCTACCAAGCACCTATTCTGCACATGTAATGCTGGGAGCTGGAGGGGCACTCATGCCTCCCTGTTGGACAAATGTTAAGTGTGCATGAGCACCAGCTACACACTCTCCACTATCCCACTAATACGTGAGCTCAGCAGAGCAGAGGCGGCCAGCAGCTCTCAGGACCACCAGATGCAGCTACACATGACAGAAAGCTCCTGAAGGGAAGCAAACTCAGAAACCAGAACTTGTACCACAGTTAAAATTTTTGACACATTTACCCAAGAAAAGGAAGTGCAATATACAGCAAGGTCAGCTGGCAGAGCCCTGCAGCTGTTCTCTAGGTATTTCTGTCAGTTCTGGCGAGCCCAGGCCTCTTTTGGGAACCAACATAAGTGTCTGGAACCTCACAGGGAAGAAAGTGCTTACCTTCTCTGCAAGATCTTCGGAAGGTCAAGGTAGAATCCATTTCATTCTTAATCTTGATTAAAGCATCCAGCACCATAGGGCCACATCTGACCAAAATCAAAACAAGAACAAAAGAACCCAGTTGTATTTATGTGAAGTTGAGTCTCTACACTTTTATCATAATATGACGAGACATCTGCCTATATTAGCTGCTTTTATTATCCATTTGGCCCTCTCAGGGCACATTCTGAATCTCCCCCACCCCCGAGGTTTATTTTTGTGCATTCTTACACATTTTGAGTACCGCAGAGTTCTATTTTGGTGATCACACTGAATATACATTTCTAGGAAATGGAAAGCTAAAGAAGTAGAAAAGTATTTAGATTAGAAAACAACTTCCACATACTGGCAGTTTTTGTTTTTTCTTCTAAAGCTCCCTGCAAAGCTTCCCCAGTTTACTTCACATTAAAACTTTAGAATCCAAACAATAAGTAGCTTTAAGTGGTTTGTTAATAATAATGCACAACCATAACAGAAACATGGTACAGAGAATAAAAGAAGAGAAATCACCCACAGTCCCCTAATCCAAAGCCGCGAGTGCTGCCTGCATAGGGGGAAGTGATAAGGTGTGAGGGCAGCAGCCATGGCCTTGGAACCCAGAGGGCAGGCCTGGCATCCGACAGCCTGGTCTGAATCCTGCCTTGGACACTTACTAGGTTACCGGCAAATCACTTAATCAGCTTCCCAACTATAAAGCACAGCGAGCAACACCTATATCTCACAGGACTGTTGCCGGTGAATGAACACACGAGGAAACGAAACAATGAGAGCATTGACTGCCACATGCATTTAGTTTAACAATGAATCCTCATGTAGAGACTGCGATTCTATGAAAATGGCTTCCTATCTCTGAGCCTCAGTTTTTTAAATCTGTAAAACGGAGTTAATACTGTATCACAAGATTATAATGAAGATGAAATAAAAACATGTAATTTTTGTGTTGAGTACACAGAAGTGCTCAACAAATCTTATTTCCTGGTTGCCACCCAATTCCTCTCAGTATTTTTCTATGCATGGGATTTAAAAAATATGCCCCCTCCCTAAATATCCTTTAGCATTGTCTGTATTTCTTTTTCCACAGTTTTATAGAGATAAAATTGACAAATAATGCTATGTCAATTTAAGGTGTCCACCGTGATAGTTTGATATATGCATGTACTGTGAAATGATCAGTGCAATAAGGTTAGTTAACACATTTTCATCAGCAACATGCACACACTCTTTCCACTGTACCTTTGCCAACACTTGGAAATGGAACCTTTAAAAACCTCTGCTATTCTCTGCATGAAGGTATTATTATGATCGGTGTTTGGAGAGCTCTGAATACTAACTACAATGGTTGGAGTATTTGTCATAAATACATTAATTTTTCTTCACTCACCAATTATTCATTGCAAGTCTTCTCTGTGCCAGGTTCCGTTCTAGGTGCTAGAGATACACCAGAGAACAAAACAGATGAAAATTCCTGCCCCATGGAGGGTTCATTCTAGTGGACTAACTCTAGTGGACTCAGACTGTGCATGTTCTTTGACTCTGTCTACTGAGGTTCTGGAAATTTTTTTTTTTAAAGATCTGAGCTTATCATCTTATAAAGGAAAAACTCTTCCACTTCTCTCTATTATTACTCACTCTTCACTTCTGGTCACCAAACAAATGGGTGTTTTTCCCATATTAAGCAATTCTGCAATACCAGCTGGGTGTCCCACCATGTCACTCAATATCACCATTCCAGCCAGGTTTATGGTGTTTATCATTATTATATAATATATAGGTCCAGGTACATAAAATTAACATGAGAATATTCAGTATCCTAAAATTGATAATGTGTTAAATGGCTTCAAATACTATGCATAAAGCCAACTCTACCATGATCCCTAGAAACTAGTCATACTTTGATTTGGGGGAAGAAAAAGAATTTTACAAAAGGTTTTCTTCTTGGTATTGTCTTTTTGAATCAGGCGCCTACCTCATTTTTGTTTTATTTATTTATTTAGTTCTTTTTTTTGTTTTTGTTTTTCTATGTTTTGTCTTTTTCTTTTTTCCCCTTCTCATTCTTGTTTTAAAAAGAGATGATAAATTCCAAAGCCACTGGATGATCTTAGTTTAAACCTTAGTGTGAAAAGCATGTCCCTGAATCAGATGACGGGCTCACCTTCATTTATCAAATACCCAGCTTTCACAGAGATACTCACTTATTCAAATCAACTTCATAAGTCTGCATATGAGGTTTATCTCCAGTTTTGTCTGGATCCCATCGGTAGATTGCAAATTTCTTGATTCGGGGAGCTGTAGCTGCAGCTGTTTGGGCCCCTCGGCAGACCTAAAATTTAAAAAGTTCACAAAAAGGAAAAAAAATTATTTAAAATGCAAGATAAATCCTTCTACTTAGCTGCACTATAAACTGCAATACTGGATACAAACCCATGCATTGTTGACACAGTCTTCTTGGGAAAGGCAGCCATTCAATATTCAACGAATACTAAGCATCTATCTCATATGCCAGACATGCCAATTCATACTCATTTTTAAAACCACTATTTATTATTGCCAGGTACTGTATTAAATGTTTTATATGAAGTGTTCCACTGAATCTGCATTTTAAAGATGAGAAAAACAAGGCTCAGAGATCAAGTTATGGGCCCAAGATTACAGAGCTAAGGAGTAGAGCCAGAACTGGAATCCAGGTCTGTTTGACTCCAGAACCCATGTTCCCAAACACTGTATTTCCGTCTCTTCTGGTGCTGTCTTCTCTTTATGTCCTAAACTCCTCAAGGGCATGTGTATTAGTGTTCTCCAGAGAAACAGAACCAATGGTGTGTACATATATATACACACACACATATACATATACATGGATGCACACATACAGATATAAAAAATAGGTTTATAACAAGGAATTGGTTCACATAATTATGGAGGCAACAAGTCCTAAGATCTGTAGTTGGCAAGTTGGAGACCTAGGAGAGCCAATGATGTAAATCCAGTCCAAGCCTACAGGCCTGTGAACCAGGAGAGTGGCTGATACAGTTCTAGTCCAAAGGCCAGCAGGCTTAGGGCCCAGGAAGAGTTGAAGTTTCAGTTTGAGTCCAAAAACAGGAAAAACCCCGATGTCACAGTTTGACAGCAGTCAGACAGGAGGAATTCCCTCTTATTTGAAGAAATAAGAGGGAATTTGTTCTAGTTAGCCCTTCAACTGATTGGATAAGGGTCACCCACATTAGGGCAGGCAATCTGAATTACTGTTTTTCGATGTAAATGTTAATTAAACTCATCTAGAAACACTCTCACAGGAACACCCAGAATAATTTCGACCAACTAACTGGGCACCCCTATTTTTTATAACTATATATATGCACACATGTATATGTATATGTGTGTGTGTATATATATATATATATATATATGTACACATCATTGGCTCAGTCAAGTTGACACATAAAATGAACTGTCACAGCATGGGACAGGTTATGTTTTATATCTCCCAGCGTGCGTGGTCCAGGCCTTTCCATATAGCAGCTCAATCCATGGTTAGGAAAAATTGAAGAGCAAAAATTGACCGTTATACTAATGTAAAAATGTGGTTTATTTTAAATGGACCTTAAAAGGCTGAATAGTGCAACCTATATCAAGCCATTAAAAATAAAACAAGAACACCCCTAAGTCAACTGCTAAGCCGCCCCCATCCCATAGTTCTTGTGGCACTTTTCCATTTAGGCAGAGACCACATCAAGTCCTCTAAGCTTCTCCTATGGTGATGGAGGAGGGGGATCCTATCAGTCCAAATAGCAATTATAAGTCGAACCCTCAATTTTTATATAGAAAAATTCAGACTATATTCCAGGCTAATTCTCTTATAAACTGTTAAGAAAAGTAAAAACTCTGAATGTTAACTGAGTAATTACAAGAAAGTAATGTGTTTGTTACTTGCTGGTGAAAAGTGCCCCACTTTTTTAAGTGAAGCTGAAAATATAAACATCAGCTCTCAGTATGAAAGAAAATGAATGAAGGAAATGAAAGTGAAGATGAAACCTCTATTTTACCTTATTACCAAGCTGGCTAAGATCATTAATAAAAGGAAAGTCGTTTTTACAAATGAACATTTCCATGAGGGACTCCATTTTGTAGCCTGACAGGAGCATTTGGCTAGTGCCACCTTGTGGTATTTAAGAGGAAGTGAAAAGAAAAGATTCCTGAAGCTAGCTCCAGCAGCCTTTTGCTTGCTTAGCGCCCCCTTTTTGTTTTGGTGAGATTTAATGAAGCATAATTCATTACATACAGTCCTGCGCCACTTTCTGATGGAGTACATTCTGAGAAATGCATTGTTAGGCAAAAATGCATCTTTGTGTGAACATCAGAGGCACTTATGCAAACCTAAATGGTACAGTCCACTACACACCTGGGGTGTATGTTACAGCTTATTGCTCCTAGGCTACAAACCTGTACAGCATGTTACTGTGCTGAATACTGCAGGCAATATAACAATGGTATTTGTGTACCTAAACATCTCTAAACAGGAAAAGGTACAGTAAAAAATGGTATAAAAGATAAAAAATGGTATACCTGTATAGGGCACTGACTATGAATGGAGCCTACAGGACTGGAAGTTGCCCTGGGAAGTGAGTGAGTTTGAAGGCCTAGAACACTACTATAGACTTTAAAAACACTGTCCCACAAGCCTTCTCCCAGCTTCCTTTTGACAGGGTCAGAGATAGAACACAGAGCTGTCAACGCTGCTCCATGAACAGGGATGTGGGCTGGACTGACTGGAAATATTGAGGAGAAACTGGCTGGGTGAGACATAGATCACCATAACAGTGACTGTCGGGAGGGAGTGAAAGGTGGCCTGAGGATCAGCAGGAATGAGAAATCAAGACAGAAGGATAAGGAACATAGGGACTGCCATGGCTGAGGGTTTGGCTATTGCCTGTGGGAGCCGTGGTCAGATTAAGGTATGTTCAGAAAAAAAGAGGGTGTTTAACATGGAGAGTGTAGAACTGGGGGCTCACTATTTTGACTTGGGAAATTTGTTTCTAGTTCCATTGGCCCTATCTGGCATAAAAGGCTCTCTCTGGTATTGGGCTGATAGAAGAAATAAAACTTATCTATGCTTTACACCATTACAACCTGACAATGTTTCCAAAGTCCAGGGACAGGCTGGTACCACATGACCACAGAAAACTTTTACTAAAGTGGCAGTGGCACTGAATACTTGTTAGGGTAGCTCCTGGGGACCTGTCTCCTTGTACAGGACCTTAGGTCCTCAACCAAGAATTTACAGCAGTGTTCTCTGAAGCCCATCAGCCAGGCCTGGGAGGCTGTAGAGCCCTCTGACTATGTAGCGCTGGGGGGGGGAGCGCTGCTCCTCTGTGCTGAAACAGGTCAGTGGCTGATGGACTGGGGAGTAATCTGTGCACTCAGGATTGTGGTGCTGTGAGTGGGAGGGAATTTTTGCCAAGCCCCAAACATACTACTCCTGTCAGAGAAAAAAATCCTCCATGAACCACACATCCTTCATTTCTTACAAGAAATTCAGCTCCATTATAATCTCATGGGACCACTGTCATATATGCTCTCTGTCACTGACTGAAATGTTATGTGAGCACATGACTAATTTGATGAGTTTTGGTAAAGTGGAATAACTACTACCACAGTTGTGACAGAACATTTCCACCCAGAAAGTCCTCTAGGTTCCTTTACAATCAGTGCCTTTCCTTTCCCCTTGCAAGTCATCTGCTTTTTATCGCTATAGATTTATACAAAATTTTCATATAAATGTGATCAGAGAGTACATCTGCGTCTAGCTTCTTTCACTTAACATAATGCTTCTGAGGTTCATTCACGTTGTTGGGTATATCCAGTCTGTTGCTTTAATGAAAGTAAAATTTTCATTTTGAAATAATTGTAGAATCACATGAATTTATAAGAAATAATGCTGAGATCCCACATACCCTTTACTCAGTTTCCCCCGATGGTAACATTGTACAAAGCTATAGTACAATATCACAACCAGAATATTGACACTGATACAGTCAAGACACAGAACATTTCCATCACCACAAAGATCCCTAGTGTTGCTTTTACAGCTACACCCATGCCCCTCATGCCTCCTACCCTTACTCTTGAACCCTAGCAATCATCTAGTATGCAACTTTTTGGGATTAGTTTTTCATTCAGCTTAATCCTCTGGAAATTCAGCCAATCTGTTGTGTGCCTCAATAGTTTCATTTTATTACTGAGTAGTGTTCCACAGTATGACGAACCACAGTTTGTTTAGTCACCCATCCACTGAAGGACATCTTGACTGTCTCTAGTTTTTGTCTGTCATGAATAAAGCTGTAATGAACACTTTTGAATAGGTTTCTGTGTGAACATAAGTCTCTATTTCTCTGGAACAAATGCCCAGGAATGTAATTGTAGGGCTATATGGTAGTTGCATGTTTAGTTTTTTAAGAAACTGCCAAACTGTTTCCAGAGTGGGTGGTCATTGTGCTGAGGTAGGTGCAAGGAGGAGAGGGACAACTGGGAGAACTGTGGGGTTCAGTGGTGAAGACTAATTCATAAAAGGAATTCAGATGAGAAATCCTATTATGTCCTGGAGTCCTAGGAACCTGAATACTACCCACAGGTAACACACCAAGCTCATTACTGAATTCTTTTGCAGTGGCTTTTGTGGATATGAATGCACATTCCTACATGGGGGTGGGGGTAGGGACTCTTCTATTTTTCTGCCCTCAGGAGGCCCTACAATGGCCTCACCCGGAATTACAACACTGACCTGTGAAACTAGCCTTCTCTACAATTCATTCTTGGAAGAGGGACCTGAGCTTTAGGACTCACTCTCATTGGTGGGGCTCTCACAACTTAACTGCTTGCACAACAACCATAAAAGGAACTGGTAAACAAGGTCATTACCAATAATCACTATAATCACTTTAATGCTCTGAAGACACCAGCTTGAGGCTCTGGTAGGCAGTCCTCTTCCCCTATTTCCCCTTGTTGGAAAGACTATAAAATGAACTCATCCAAGTTCACATACAGCTTATTGAAAAGAGCTGGCATTATGAAGACAAGGCCATATACACTGTATTATGCGGCCAGAGCAGGTACTTAAAAATGAGAGCTCTTCTCATATAAGTGCAAGAAAGGCAGAGGAACTAATACTTTCCCTACACCTACCATGTGCCCAGATTTGTGCTAGGAGTTTCTCACATATTACGTTAAAAAACAACAACAACTGGGTTTAGATCTGGGCTCTACCACAGTTCTGGGCCATGATATTTCGAGCAAGTAAAAAAAATTTTCTCTGTGAAGCCCTCCGTTTTCACATCACTCTAAGGGGGGTGAGAATTCCTGCTCGCCCACCTTGCTGAGGTGGTTGAGGAGCCCAGAGGAGGGGGCAGACTTGAAAAGGACTAGCAAACTCTTAGTCCCTTATGCATGCAATGGCAGTCCCCCCTCCCCTTCTAAATACCCCCATTTAGAATGCAGACCAGAAAGAAGGATGCAACCTATGGCTGCACACTGAACAAAATACGTGAGAGCAGTGCCAAGCTCTGTGCCTGTGTGACCCATGCCCAAACCTCGTGAGGCTGGTAGTGTCACACGCCCTTTACAGACGGGGACACTGAGAGGATGACGCTGCTGGAAGGACCCGACTCTTTCCCGCAGGCCCCAGCAGCAAGGGGTTCGGATCCTTCACGGGGCTGGCCTTCCCTCTTGTTTCTCCCTTGCCCTGCTCGGTCCCCGAGGAGTCACTTGCCCTTTCCCGACCGACCCCGGTCCAGTCCCTCGTTCCCGAGCCCTGAACCTCGCATCCTGAAGACGTGCCCTCGCGTCTGCTTCGACCCCGCCTCACACGCCCGCAGACGCGACAGTTCGGTGACAGAAAAAGGGCTTGGAGACCAAACGTTTGGAATCGAGGTCTGCTCCCACCAGCCCCTCACTTGCCACGTGACCTTGGGCAATTCAAGTCTCTCTCTCTGAATTTTTCTGTTTTCCTTATTTTCCTAAACTTCGTCTTCGCCCGCGACGCCTCACGGGCTGCGACAAGGTGCAGGAGCGGTCCCGCCGGCTCCCTGAGGCCCAGCCCCGTGCTCCCTCACCCGCCTCCGCGGCCCCCTCGCCCGCAGGCCGCCTCCGTGCCCTTCGCGCCCGTCCTCTCCCCGCGACCCCGGAGCTCACCTGCAGGCAGGCTCCGCCGAGGGCTGTGGCCGGGAACCGGCGCCTCAAGGACACTCTGGCCACCGCCGCCATCTTAGCTTCTGACGGCGAGCGCCACCCCTCAGCCCCGAGGTCGCCCTCCGCCGGCGTCCCGCTGAGCACCGCGGCGCCGAGCCAAAGTCCACCCGCGATCCGCTAGCCTCTAGGAGCGACGGAGACGGAGGCGGCTTCCGGTTTCCCGGGTGGGAGGAGGAAAGGTGGAGAAAGCCCACGCGAGCGTGCGCAGTGGCGGAGGGCCCGGCGCATGCCCACTTGGCCTCCCGCGTTTCTAAGGTGACCTTCCCAGAAGGGGGCGGGGCCAGGGAGAGAGGGCGGCAGAAGGGGTGGGGCTAAGATCCTAAGGGGCGGGGCCGGCCGATCCGAGCCCTGCCCCGATTTTAAGCCCTCTCTTTCTGAAAATTCGTCAGCCTTGTCGCTCATCTCTGTCGCTTAGTGGCTTTAGTCAGACACAGCACGGTTTGCCCGAGACTGTCCAGGTTTCAGCACTGAGAGTCCCGAGATACCCCTCATTCCCAGATGAGCTAGGAGGGCTGGGGAACGAACCCAGGGGATTTCAAAGATGACAGACAAAGGTGTCATTCATTCATTAAATAATAGGTATGGGACATTGCTATGTGCGGGGTGCTGGGATGCTACAGTGACCGCCCTCACTGGATTTACTGATAGGCAAGTTACCAATCACACTACGCTAAGCTCCGCTCTGTGAGGCAGGGGTAGGAAGGGAACCCAGCCCTCGGTGGCTTAGTTAGCCCTTTAGCGTCAGAAACCGTTTCTTGAACGCTTACTGTATGTAAAACATTACGATCCATCATCTTACTCAATCCCACAACAGTCTGGTGAGAGTCTCCATCTCGGCGGCTTTTTTCAGGCCCGTCTATGGGTTTTGGTGGAGCTTGCCTCACTCTTCCGCTTGATTCCCTTGGGCAGGGTGTGGCCTCAGTCCCCCAAGTCCCTTGGTCTCTTCGGTGTCCTCGGGCATTTATGTAGGTAGTTAACTTTGCAGGTACCTGTGTTTCCCAAGAATGATGTTTTTCCTTCTCTGTCCACTGACATATGTTACATGTCCTATGTTACATTCTTTGGTTTCCACACTCACTGCTCATTTAGATGCTACTGGAGAAATTAAAATAGCCAGACAAATTGGTTGGATGGGGTTTAAGTTTCTGAGGTCTTGGGCTGGAATCTGGCTACATTGCCATGGGGCCTCATGAAGGAGGTGTGTAGGAGGCCATGAGAAATAGCCTGGTGCCCGGGGTCTAACCCTGAATCTTCCCCTCAAAGCTGGTCCCTCTTGGACAAGTCCCTCCCCCTGTAGTTACCTTGTCTGTATCAGCTGATTTAAGATTCTGTGATTCACATGGCTGCCTTGGGGGTGTGGACTGGTCACAGGGCTGAGGTCATCTTGACTTTTCACTGGGGCTGACCCAGCATTGGAATGGGGCTCCTCTGAGTCTTTGCCAAGGGGCCTCTTGGACACCCAAATTGGCGGAAATCATGGGAACACTGTCACTTTCCCTCTACCTTCTCCTGGCTGAATTGTCTTCTGAGATGAACGAAGACTGTCTTCTTTCTCCAAGGGACATGCTTCTGGAGAATTGGTCCTCTTGGCATTTTCAGGGTTCTTTCATCCCAAAGTCAGATGCCAATCCTGGATAAGTGACTACCCTTTATCTTTGCCTAGGTCACCTTGGAAAAAAACAGTCTGAGGCCAGCAGAATTGAGACCTTGATTTATGATGGGCTCTTGGTGCCAATGGGCCCACACACCCTCCAGTCACATCATTCCTGGGCTTCATGGGGATTTGGGAAGCTCAAAGTTCTGGAGGAATAAATTCCTGGGCGGCTGTACCTCCGCCCTGAACTTTGGGATTCCAGGAAGGCACAGCTGCAGAAGGACTTAGAGGTTTTCACGGCCTGCTCCTGACATATCTTCCCAAAGTGTCCTCGTGATAAGACCCAAAGTTTTTTGTTTGTTTGTTTCCACTTGTCTAGCAAATGAAGTATTGCTTTTCACCAGTCTGCTAGATGCTTTAAGTTTATGCTGAACCTCATCATTTGCAAATGTGTTTATATAAACCGTCTACTTTAGTCCTTGTAACAACCCTTTTGGGTTGGAAAAACTGTTTTCATTTTACAGACTTTCTTAGTCTTTGATAATGAGAAAGCTGAGCAATCTTGGGCAGGAATTTTGCTTTAGGAGCTTTTTCTTCCCTAACAGGCCTGGGAATCAAGTCCAGAATTAAAAATTAAAACCAAAAAGCATTGCCGTTTATACAATCAACTATATTTCTAGTGTCTTATGATTTAGGGCAACACAGCTGGATTCCCTGCAGCCAGAGGGCTAAGGAGGGCTGGGTTTAGGGGGGAAATATCAGATGATTTTATTGCCTGGGTGATTTATTTGCCTCTGAGAAAAATCCACCTCACTCCAATTAACCCCGCTGGTGGGACTCAGGGGTCTTTCCATCCAAAATTCAGGATTTCATTTGCCTTTGACCAATGAACTCACTGTTGCTTTCTGTTCCATCTCTCTGGCTGACCTTTTCCTTGGTCTAGCTGTCTTCTGAGCAGCTCCACCTGGGTGTCCCAACGGCCTCGGAAACTCAACCTGCCTCCTACTGTACTTATCACCTAGGGACTTCTTAGCTTGCCTCTTGTTGGCACCGCCATCTTTCTGGTGTTGAACCAGAAACCCAGTGTGGTCCTTGACTTGTCCCCTGCCACATCCAATCAACCACCAATTACCAGCATAGCCTCCAAGGTTTCCAGGACTGGCCCACCCACTGGCCCTTCCAGTCTCATCTTTTCTTGTGATGAAACCTGTTCTGTTTTCCCCCTTGTCCCTCACCTCCATGTCTTGGCTCATTTCCACGTGTAGGATCAGGCGTGCCCTTTCCTCCCTTTCCAAAGGGCCAATCCCTCATCATTTGGAATTCAGCTCCAGCTTTCTCTTCCCTAAGAAATCACCCCTTTGCCCCCCTCACCCATACATCCTCTGCATCTGCCATCAATGTGCATACCCCTGGTTTAACAATTATCCATTTATATGTCAGTCTTCCCAGACTGTGGCATTTTAAGGGCATGGCCCATTCACTTTATTTTCTTCATAGAACTTATTGCTATCTGCAAGTTTACTTTTAGTTCCTTATGAATATATTTTGTCTGAATCTCCCACACCTGAGGTCAAGAACTATGTCTGTCTTGTTTACTGTTGTGTTCCCAGAGCCTGACACACAGCAGGTGACCAATAAATGCTCAACGAATGAACAAATTCATGTTCGTTTCCAAAGGTGGCTTGGGACTTAGCACATAGTAGCTATGCATTGATGTTTGTTGGTTGAATGAAGGAATAAATAACAACAGAGGATGCGCTGTCCCTGTTCCTTGTAAAAGGTGAAAGGAGAGACTTGGGGTGGAGTGTTTGGTTAGGGGAGCAGGGAGCCCAGTGGAGATTCGTGCAACTTTAATATATGGGTCAGGACTAGTGCAAGGAGAGTGCACAAAATTTAAGAGCATCTAAAAACTTGGTCATTAAGATAAGTAATATTTTAATGCAATATTTAAAAAAAAGTAAAAATGGCTTTGGCCAGTATGGCTTAGTTGGTTGAGCTTCGTCCCATGCACTGAGAGGCTGACGGGTCAGTTCCCGGTCAGGGCACATGCCCGGGTTTCGGGCTCCATCCCCAGTAGGGGGCGTGCAGGAGGGAGCCGACCCATGCTTTTCTCTCTCATCAATGTTTATTTCTCTTTCTCCCTCTCCCTCTAAAATCAATAAAAACATATTTTTAAAAAAGAAGTAAAAATACAAAAATTCATGATGAATAAAAATGCCAAAATTTTAAGTAAAGACTGTTCTCCAAGAAAAACCAGAGAACAGTCAGTCACGGGAACTGGGAGCAATCACCTGGTTCCGTTTTGCCCTGGTAAAGGCACTTGGGGGTCATCTTTGCTATTATTGTTCAAGATGCTGGTGACAGTGATGGCGGGGCTGCTGCTGTTGCTGCTCACAGCTGCCACCTTCGGAGGACTTAGTGCCTACCGGGCCCTCCAAAGAGACTTTGGGTACATCTTCCCTCTTTAATTATTACAACCCCCACAACGTAGGGATTTATATTTGAGGCAACTGAGACTCAGGAGGGTCACAACTCCCCCTAAGCAAGTCGCATAGCTAGGAGGTCAGCATCTTCAGTTAGGGACACCGCTGTGCTGTGGCACGTGCCCAAGTTAATGGGAACACAGTGGTTGCAGTCACTCGGCTCCACCTGCAGAGGGTGCCTGCGCCCCACGGAACTGCCAGGGCTCCCTAAGATCCCTTTCCAACCTGCCCTTAGAACCCTCTTCCCTCTAAACCCCTCCATATAATTAGACTTCTCAAAATATTCTCTCTGGGTGGGACAGGGACAATCATACGCTCCAGGCTTCTCCAATTTCACGAGCAGACTCTGTGGAACTCCCGGAGCAAAAGTCACGAGCCACCCCCACTCCAGATGGGGCTGCGTTTCACGCAGCTGAGGTCAGCTCAGCTGCTGGGACTTAGCAAGCGGCCCAAGGCCTTCTGGGGACTGTCACGTTGCTGGCCCCTGTAGCAACACACACACACACACACACACACACGCACACACACACGCTCACACGCTCACACACTAGAGCTCACCCACCCTGCTGACCTCTGTGTCACTCCCATCTGCTTGCCACACCAGCAGCATGCTGTCAAAGCAGCCGTGAATTTGGTCCTCTGGGTGTGAGTGCGCTTTGGAAACACAGTCCGTGATAAAACTCCCTTTAGGGCTGAACCTGAATTTTGAGCACCCCTTTCTATCAGAGACAGAACCACCCAGAAAAGGAATAGTGCTAAATATTCATCTGTAGCAGTGTAATCTCCGCTCACAGGCAAAAAACAAGTCAGAGGGATGCAGAACGTTAAAAAGCAAGTCAACCTTCTAGTGGGGCAGGGGGGTGGAGTGGTTGAGTGTGCGGGCCTTTGGGAGTTCAAGTCCTATTTTACCAGTCATTTACTGTGTGACCTTGAGCAAATTACTTAACCTCTCTGTGCATTAGTTTCCTGTTGGCTAAAGTACAGAGAAAGAATCATAGTCGCCCTAGCCGGTCTGGCTCAGTGGTTAGAGCGCCGGCCCACGGACTGAAGGGTCCTGGGTTCGATTCTGGTCAAGGGCATGTACCTCGGCTGCAGGTTTGTGCGGGAGGCAACCAA